TGTTTCAACTTAACTTAATATATACTCTTGAATTTTATGCAATTATACTAAATACTCGAAGAAAAAGTTTTATCATACACAATGATTCTACATGACTCAAATGAAAGTTTCTTTAAATACATGTAATTAAAATAACAACTTATACCCTACAAGTTTTAGAAAAAAGTTAAATAAAAGATTTTTTAAAAAAAACTAAATTATTTTTATCTCATAATTTTATTTATTTATTTTAATACTTAATATTTTTATTCTTATAAGTACTTATTAATACGTCTATCCAAATAAATCAAGATTCAATTTTTATAATAATATAATTTTGCCTAACTCACTTTTACCCTACTTATAACTTATTAAAACACAATAAAGTAGTGATTTAAAAGGTTGTGTTTTAAGAGAATAGTGATAGATACACTTATATTTATAAATCATTTAGAAGTTTATAATTTATATTTCAATAATAAGTTAGTAGAGTTATTTAATAAATTAATTTAAAATAAAATTTTATAATTTTTAAAAATTAACTTATAGAAAACTTTAAATAATTTATACTCATGTAAAAACAACTGTAATTTATTTTTTTAGTCATTTAACACATTTTTGTCAAATGTAAATAAATAATAATCTTTTAACAAATTTACCAACAACAAAATTACAAGCTTTTAACTAATTTTTCAAAATAAAATTTTGTACATGCATACTATTTCATATTTGCACCTTTTAACTAATGCTATTTAGCTTTATTTTTTACATTTTTGAAATAATTTTATTAAGATAAACTTTAATGTGCTTTAAAAAATGAGAAGATATTATATGCTTTCTTATACGTAAAATAATTATGATCGTTAATTTTAGTAATAGAGTTAGTGATTTATTTTTAAAAATATGAATATTTTTAATATTTTAAAATAATTTATAAGAAGTATTTAATATTTCTTAAATTTAAAATTACTGTAATAAATACTATTAATTAATTATAAACTTAGGACATGTATTCAAACAAATTAAAATGTATTAATTCATTTATTTATTTGGAGAGAGATTGAATCTGGACATTTACTATTCATATTTTATAATTTAATCAGTTGAACTGGGTTGAAAGAATAATAAATTACAAGAAATTATTGGTTGTAAATCGTGTAGAGATTTAATTACACTTCATTTTTCATTCATTTTTACCAAAAATGTTTTTATTAAAATTATAAAATTTAGAATACATTAAATAATATAACATTTTATTATCTTTAATAAAAAAATTATACATAAAATTTTATTATGTATCTTTAAATATAAAGAATATAGAATTTGTCTTTCTTTGTTACATTCACTCCACACAGTATTACCGCATGCAATTAATTTTGACTTTGGTAAATTGTGGGCACAAAGAGGCCAATGACTCTCATTTGACTAAATATCCGTTGACATTAATTGAAGCATACATACTCCCATCATTTAGTTTGCTAGACAAGTCAAAGTCCCAAGAAAAGTTCAAATTGAATGTTTATTTGAGTTTTGAAAATTTTGAAAATGATTGATTTTATTTTTAAAATTTAACCATATTAATTTATTTATCCAATATTTTTTATCACAGAAAATCATGATTAAATGACTAAATTGATAGAATAAGTTTTAAGTAAAAACTAAATTAATATTTAAAAAAATTAAAAAAAAATTCTCACATTAATATAATTTAAAAAATTTTAATCCTTTTATTTAACTTAAATACGAATGTTAGTGAAATAATAAATTATAATATATTAAATATAAATTAAATAAGAAATTTAAATTAAATATAAAAATTTTTAAACTCACATTAGTGTAAGAAAATTATCTATATTTTTTAAAAGTTAACATAAAATTTTATTGCAAATTAAATAAAATGAAAAGTTTTTGGTTTAATAATTATGTGATTTATAATTTTAATTTTTATGAATGTTTTGTGATGATGAAGGTGTAGGGATATAATAATTAGGCATGGCCCATAACAAATTTTGGCTCTCTGTGTCTATTATGTGTAAACGTTTTGGGCCGTATCCTGCAATTAATAATGGGAACAGACCGAAAAAGTAAAAGCTGATATGAGCAGACGAGAGCGAGACAACATTCCGAATAGGATGACAGCACAAAATGATGAGTTAGAAAATGCATTGTTTATGGACCCAAAAAAATTAAACCATACCATGTTGAAGAAAAAGTACACTTTGTTTAGATATAATGGCATCACCAACCCTTACACACACATTAATTTGCATTTATACCATCTACGTCTATATGCATTACATTCAAATTGACATTTACCTAAAAGAATAAAAAATATATATAAATTTGTAAAATTTATATTTCCTCCTAAATAATTAGCTTACTCATAAATGTAAAAGAAAAAGAGATTTTATTTTCAGAATATAGATCTCAATATCATTAGCATAAGCATATACGTGAAGACCGATAGGATTAATCTTACAAATTTACCAATAAAGATTTCTAGTTAAAGAATTTAAAATGAAACATATTCAATAAGTGCAGAGGCATGGATTTGAAACTTATTTTATTATTAGATTGCAATTCGTTTATATATATAAAAAAAAAGAAAAAAGTAATGCGCACTCAAAAATATTTATTAATTTTTTACATTGAAGAGGTATGAAATAGAGTTATTGTTTCTACATACTAAAAATTATGTTTGTTAACTGAGTCTAGTGAAGTTGATAGAGTTTTTGTTGAATTTTTTAATCCAAATTTAGCTGAAAATTTAGATTTGAGCTATTTGAACTCGAGAAAAGATAAACTACACATTTGGTTTGTACATATACCAAATGTTAGTGTATAAAATCTAGAGTAAATATTTTATTTGGGGTTTTCAAAATAATTGAATGCCATATATCAGTTTTTTTAAAAGATTTTAATCATTAACTTAGTTCCTAAGTATTCAAGTGTGTCATTACATTACTTTTTATTTTTATTTTATCAATTAGTGTTTTAAAATGTAGAACAATACTAGATTATTTTTTTTATCACTATTTTAATTTTTAATGAATATGAATATGTTTATGCTTAAAATTTTCAAGAATTGATTCAGTGACGAAATAATACAATAACATATAAAAAATTTAATTCAATAATATATTGGATAGGACATTACTCGGTCTTAGTTATCGAAAGAGGAAATCGAATATATATTTGGCCTACGAAGGACGAGTATGTCACAAAACATGATAATTATAAATTAATTATAATTAATAAATTATTGATCAGAATTAGGGCTGGTCTACGAAGCCCATTAGCCCATAATATCTCTTATAAAATGAAGGTAAGAGGTACAGGTAAAGATAGATTTTTAATAAAAAATAATTAAGTATTTACTGCTCAGAGTCAAGACTTGACTTGAGTATCGGAGTGCCTTACCCTCTCCACGTCACACAACATCGGCAAGATTTGGAAGAACGTCAGCTATCCAAGCAGAGACTTGAAGACTAATATTTCTCTAGCAGAAACAAATAATAATATTTTAAAAAAAAACTAACATAATGACGTTTTGCATTTAGTTGATTTATGGAAATTCACTCTAAAAATATATTATATGTTATTTTAATTTTTTTTAATCAAACTGTTAATAAAATGAATGTAATGAAACACTTAAGTTTTATTATTTGTTATATGGATCATAAGTCATTATTATTATTATTATTATTATTAAACATAATTATTTTTCATCTTTATGTCATATGTCAATTGAGTATATTGTAAAATAATAATAATAATAATAATAATAATAATAATACAAAAGCCTTTTGTTGAATTTGAAGCTGTGAAGATAATTTTTTAAAAGTATATTGTCATTTGTCATTTATTTTTATATGTTAGAAATATTTTTAAAGTTAAAGATTAAGGTTTAAATATATTTTTATTTATTAAATATACTAATTTTAATTTTAATAATTTTTTAATATAAAAATTATTGATTTTGCCCATTTGATTGTGCGGCTTTATAGAAAAACAATATGTGGCCCGAAAATTAATTCATGATAATATCTAGATTAATTCTTTTATTATTTAACAATAAATAGAGTCTATAATTAATAATTTTTTAAAAAATAAATTTTATAGGAATAAAAATATTCAATACATTTTAAGAAATAAAAACATATTTAACTCAAGTGCTAATCATTTTTAAGAGACAAATATTAGGTTAAATTAATATATTAATCACTTAATTTTATATAAGTTTTTTTTTTTGGTTATGAATGACAATTCTGTTAAACTTTTATTATTTATCTTCTTCTTTTTGTAAACTTTGGCAAAAACATAATGTATACTAACAAATTTTTCGATTGAGTGTTAGGATCATAGGAGAAAGAAAGTAAGACAATAATATTAACATCAAGGTTTTTTCTTTATAAATATATGCTTATTTGTATCTTATATATTATCATCTTTGTCACAACTATTATATATAGTTATCATACTCAATTCACATTCTACAACTCTTTTATTATCATTTTTTAATGTGTGAATGTGTCATTATTTCACTCGTATTATTTTTTAAGATTAGTTGAAACTTGAAAATACATATTTGTTAGGGTTTGAATTGGCCAAAAAAAAAAAGCAAAAAAACTTAGAGCGAGACGAAAAAAATAAGAAAGCGAAAGATGAAATAAAAGAAAAAAGAGAGAAAAAAAGAATAATAATAATAATAATAAATTTTAATAGAGTTAATATTTGTTTAAACAAAATGATTTATTAAAAACACTTTTGAAAGTTGAAAAAAATGAAATAAAAAATATTAAATGACTAAACCAAAATAAAATTGAAAGTTAAAGAATTAATCTATTAATGTAGCCTAAAATTTATTATAAAGAACTTTATTTGTTTAGCTAAATTATAGTTAAAAGATATTATTCAAATATATTTAGTTAAATAAATTTATATTTTATTTGTGTATAGCTATAAAGTTTATCTAATATTAATCTAAATTATACTTTATATATTTATAATTCTATATTTATGTTATGCAAAACACGAGTAGGAAGAGAACAATATTAAACATGGAAGTACAACCCCACCTAATAATTATACTTTATAAGCCATTGCCTAGATTTTCATGGTGTGGGCGTGGAAGCATAAAATTCAGACCACTAGACTCTCTCTCTCTCTCTCTCTCTCTCTCTCTCTCTCTAGGCAGGACCATTGTGGTAGTTGTTTATAATTTGAAAACGAGAAGGCAGTGAACATGCTTTGAGTTCTTCACTCTTCTATTTACTATGGCCAATGAAAGATATTCAAGTTCCAGGGAGAAAAATAGCAATGATCCATTTTTGGCATCTCACCACACAAGAAGACAACATCACCAATGTGTAAAACCAAACAATCATGTCTACCCACAACAAACATTTGCACAAAACCATCCTCTGAAAATGGCTACTTTCACTCCACCTATTTTTGTTGCTTTGCTGCTCCTTCTTACCTCAATTATTACCCCAGCATTGTGTCATCCCTTGAAGGGTAACCACACTTTAAGAGCAGCTCAAGAATTGCACAAGTTGAGGAGAATCAGAATTCACTTGCAGAAGATCAACAAGGCTCCTGTCAAGACAATTCAGGTATGTTTTCCTTCTTGTTATAGAACCTGTGCTGATATGACACTGACACTGACACTGTGTTTTCTTTCTTTGTTTGTTTTCTTCTTTGGTTTAATGATGTTGGGGCTTTGTTATTTTTTGCAGAGTCCAGACGGTGATTTGATAGATTGTGTTTTATCTCACAAACAACCAGCTTTTGACCATCCAAAGCTAAGAGGGCATAAACCATTGGTAATTTCAGATATGACAAACAAAATGGTTGCATTGAAATTACATATTTGTTATTGTACACTTTGAGCCACCCGTTTAGTTTTATTTTACTTTAGTATAAATAAAGGATTAAAGGGTTTGCTTTAGGCATGGGATTTTATATGAGAGACAGAGAAGTAAAGGGATTGAGATTTTACAGGATCCACCACGGAGGCCAAAGGGAAACTACACTAATGGTGAAAAAGTAAGTGAGAGCTTTCAGCTATGGAGTGATTCTGGTGAAGCATGCCCAGAAGGAACTATTCCAATTAGAAGAACAACAGAAGAGGATATTCTTAGAGCAACCTCTATCCGAACATTTGGAAGAAAACCAAGAAATGTACGGAGAGACTCATCTGGCACTAATCATGAGGTCAGTGCTTCCAAATTTTGTTTCTAAATTTAAGACCTCAGAAAAATTTACAGTGACAGGACCACAAATTTTAAATCACCATTTCCTTGTTGATTGTTATGTAATTAAAAATTATTAATTTTTGTAATAATTATTTCAAAATTCCTACTTGGGAAACTATTTTTACCATAGTATCAAAATTAAACTCGAGAAAGAAAAAAGACATTCTTTTCAAAAGGAATCTTTACCTTCGTATTTTTTCCCTTCATGTTAATGCTTCCCATTTCTTATTTCATATTACATTAATTTTTCTCAGTTCATCTTTCTTTTTTCATCAATAAGCTTCTGTCATTTTCCCGCTATTTCCATGTCATAAAGTAAAAAAACAACATTGCTTTTCCGTATTTGTCAACAGTTTCTACATGAGTTCCAAAAACAGCAGAGAACAGACAGTGAAGGGACACCACTCATAAAAGTTAGCCTCATGTTTGCACCGAAAAGTAAAACCAAAATCATGTTGTATCTACAATTGTTAGTGGATACCAAAGATTTAAGTAACTCCAAAAATTAAAAAAATTCCATACTCCCATTGCCTCGTTGAAGTATTTGTTTATTGAGCATAATTTGAGAAGCACCTTAATCTTATTGCAGCATGCAGTTGTTTTTGTAAATGGTGATCAATACTATGGAGCAAGGGCAAGCATAAATGTGTGGTCACCCCGTGTAACCGATCAATATGAATTCAGCTTGTCACAGATATGGGTTATTGCTGGCTCCTTTGGTCATGATCTCAACACCATAGAAGCTGGTTGGCAGGCATGTTCATGCTTTCATAAATTGCTACAGTTCTTTATAAAAGTTTAACATATCATTTTGCAAAAAAATAGAAAATTTCTTCCTAAATTATTCCACTTTGCAATAAGAAAATACTAAAATAAACTTTTAAAACTGATTTTAAATAAATCCAAAAGAATATTAAACATTTTTTAAATAAAAATTTATTATTTTTACATGCTTAGTTCCTTCATGTTCTGGATAATAAGTAGCAAGTGTATTTCCCTTCAGGTAAGTCCAGAACTGTATGGGGACAGTTATCCAAGGTTCTTCACTTATTGGACAGTGAGTATTGCATATATGCCTCTTTTTTTCTTCTCTTCTCTTCTATTCTCTTGTGCATCTCACTGATGTATATATTATTTAACAGACCGATGCATATCAAACAACTGGGTGCTACAACTTACTCTGTTCAGGCTTTATCCAAACTAACAATAGAATAGCAATTGGGGCAGCAATCTCCCCAAGATCTGCTTATAACAGTAGACAGTTTGACATTGGCTTAATGGTTTGGAAGGTGAGTGTTATTATTTTCCTATTCAATTCAATAATTAAGGAGAAAAGAGCCTTTTCTTTACTTTTTTGTTTTGAGTTTTTCTAGGTAATTTAATGAAGTAAACAATTTCATCTTAGCTAAACGAATGACATTAAAACATTGTATTAAAAATTATATCAATATTTTATTTAATATTTTATAAACAAATCTCATTAATCTATCGTAAGTAACTTAGACAAATCTATTTTCTATAATTTGTACGTTTTTTTCCCTCTCCCGTTTGATTTTTTCTATGTCATTGTTATTTAAAATGGAAGATTCCGTTAGTTTACCTTGATGGGGTCGACTTTATCGATATCTTTTCCTTTCTCTTTATAAAGCAATAGTTCACGCTTTACTTTTATTATGGTCTTACCGTAACTGGCTTCGCGAGATGCAAAAGCTACCTTTGACCCATGATGCTTCGTTTTCTCATTTCTACTTTTATCCAACAATGATAAACTAGTTGCAGTTTAACACGAAACTTAACCAAACAGTACGGCTCTTTGGATTCCTGAAAAATTTTATCATTAAAAATAAGGAAAAATGTTTTTTAAAATCAAACATCTCCTTAGTTTCATAAATCTATCTAGGTTGCTAACCCTCGTAGTTAATATAAATAAAATAAAACATTTCATGGTTAAGGTAGTCGGGGTGGAAAAAAAACATTATTAACCCTTCTTAAAATTTCATCATTATAAGAAAACATATTTCCAAATACGGCAACTAATTAGTGATTAGACAAAAGTTATAACATGCACCCCCCCCCCCCTTTTTTTAGATTCTAACATGCTATGTGTGTTGAAATTTGTACATAGGATCCAAAACATGGACATTGGTGGCTAGAGTTTGGGTCAGGACTAGTAGTTGGGTACTGGCCAGCGAACATGTTTAGTCACTTGAGGAGTCATGCAAGCATGGTACAATTTGGAGGAGAAATTGTGAATACTCGTTCAAGGGGTTACCACACAGGCACTCAAATGGGTAGTGGCCATTTTGCTGAAGAAGGATTTAGAAAAGCAGCATATTTTAGAAACTTACAAGTGGTTGATTGGGACAATAGTTTGCTTCCTCTTAGAAATATTCACCATTTCGCTGACCATTCCAATTGTTATAACATATGGCAGGGAAGCAACAATGTTTGGGGAACTTACTTTTATTATGGAGGACCTGGAAGGAGTGTGAGATGCCCATGAACAAAATACCACCTAATTTTTGTGGTACATGTATGTCTTCTTTTTTCTTTTTTTAGATTGTTAACTTCAACCCTTAAAATTGATAATATAAAAGTATAATAAATATTTTTTTAATAAATTTTTACAATTATTAGTTATTTAAATCGTAAGAATTGAAGTTAGTAATATCAATTCTCTTTTACTTTTGTTACAAGCTTCACGTGCTTGGTTATAATATAGGAGTATTTTTTGCCATTAAGATTTTTATTTTTCACTAGCAGCTTAGAGACAGTTTACTTTGATTTTAGGGATGATGTAAATCAACGAGGTGGGTGCAGTGTTTCTTTATTTCTTTCCCTTCTGAAATTCAAAAATATCTTAAAACATTGTGCATGGTGAAGTTGACTTTGACCAATGAGCCTGGCATGCATTTTGCCTAGCATAGATTCATCATGAATTTTCCATTCTTCCAAAACAAAACCCAATGCAAACTACTGCGTATTTTACTGTCAATCCATCCATCATTTGTGGCATTGCATGTGGGTGGGGTTGGGGGGGACAACAAACAAGCATGCTGGCATAAACAAATCTCCAACACTTGCTACTGAACCTTCATGCTTTAATTTTAGAATTGCAGCACCATCTATAAGCGAAAATAATAATAATTTAATGTAACAGTGGCAGCACTTGTAAATAAACGAAATTGATTTTAATACGGTGAACCCAAGACCAATTAATTGCAACAATCGTTTATATCACCAGCCTTGTGCTTTCCAACAAAAAAAGTAGAAACAAAATTGTTTTTAACAAATAATAACAATATTTTAACATCAGTTTTTAAAGATGATTTTAAATATTAAAAAATTCTTTTATTAATTTTTTTACTTTTAATATATATAAATAAATAAAATGGTATATTAGGAAACACAATTTACATAATAATAACAACAACAACAACAACAATAATAATAATAATAATAATAAAGAATTTGTCTTGTTTAGGATGTTTAGGATATGGACTGATGATCTGAATTTAACAATATTTAGTCCCTTAAAGACACAAACACAAGAAGAGTAAAAAAAAAAAACATAGAAGACCTAGAAACTAGAAAGTCAACAGTCAATGTCATGACTGCATTATTTACTATTCTTATATCGTCCCAAACCAGACTTAAAAAAGATAGCAACTGGCTATGATTTTTGTTTTCCCTCAAAGAACTAAGAATTGACACCTCTATGTATCCTATATGACACAAAAACGACCCCCTACCACTTTCTGATTAAGGAAAAGACACTGACCAATAATACCAAGAAGGTGGTTTATTGGTTTAAATAAGAATTCGGAAATGCATCATAAAAGAGCAGACAAGATGGCATGAAAGTAAAACTAGAAACGTTAATGACATGATTGGTGCCTATAAAGTGAGAGAATAGCATTTTTCTTTTGGGACGCCACAATAGCAAGCAAAAGCTACTTTCTAATGCCCCCAATCACAGTTGCTGATAATGGAAGTTAGTTAGCCAATCAACTATTGGAACCTGTTAAGTTAGTTGGTTGCTTATAAACCCATGAGATCACATTGCCTTTATTATTATATGTTGTTACTTTAATCATATAATACAATTTTCATTCCTTTCACATCTCTGTTGTTGGCCCATTCTTCTTCCACTTTCGTATTCATTCTACTGTTACTTTCTTTTTTCTTACTAGAAAAATAATGTAGATCCATTAAAAAAATAAACTAATAAAGTCTTGTAGATAACATTCACGTTTGTAGCCCTGTAGGTCTTCCATTGTGGCAAATCCATATCACTCGCAAAGAACTTTTATAAAGAAGTGGGTGTAGTATGCATTTTGTTCCATGTAGCAAGATAGTTGGTAACACTTAAGTGAAGGTACATGGGTAGTATCCGTTCAAGCAAAAGCTTGATGCATGTTATGCTTGAGAGAAAGTGAAAGGAAACAGGAAAATTATATAAGCTATGAATGTATTATGATTTTGCAAATAGAATTAAATTTAGTTTTAAATATATTTTTGTTATCTTCTCCTGAATAGGAACTATCCCGATCTCTCTTTGAAATTATTTATTATCTTGTCTTTTCTTGTGGTGTCATGCATTCTTATCATTCTCATTTCTGCAAAATCTACTCTTTTCCTTGTGTAGTCCTTTTATCGTCCAACATTCACCATCAAAATGAACAAAAATATTTGTAGAGGAATAAAACTAAACTAAAACATATTTACAAGAACTAAAAACATATTTAAACCATAATAATTTTATAGATCTAAAATAAAGATGGATATCTTTTGACTAAGAGAAAATATATTTAAGACATAATAATTTTATCAGTTTTGCACAATGGTTGAGGTACAACATCACTAAAAAGTATAACAACGCAAAAGGGGAAGGAACCCCCAACCAACTACCACGGTCTGAAACCTAGTGGACCACCTTCACACAATTACTATGGAGACCCAGTCTGATAGCTGCAATTCCTGAGTTTGAAGGAATACACCAACCAAACCCCACTCACTAATGCACTTGAAGTTTGAACAGTGTGATATCCACTGCTGAAAATTTTAGTAAGAGACAAAAGTCAGTCTCTTTGTAGGCACAAGGATAATAAAGGGCCAACAACCATAAGAGATTATTGGTTGTTGAATATGAATTTTGAAATACAAGTAAAACTATGGAAGCACTGAGATTAGTTTTGAAAAACAGAAAAGAAGCATAAAATGTGAGATATAAAGAAAGAGGCTAATTAAAAACAAAAGCGATGAGTAAAGCTTACTTAACCCAGGACAAGTGCTAATTAGGTGCTACCATTTTTGTCTCATAAGCTCCTAAGGCAAGAGATAAAGATTGGAAGACTGCAGTAGCTGGCTCCAACTTCAATCACTATCAGTTGTTGAATATGAATTTTGAAATGGCAATCAAGTGACACTGAGTACAGATAGCTCAATGTAACAGTCACTCAGTTCTGCAACAGCATCGTCCATAAATTTAATAAGATCTTCAGGTTTGTAGATCTGAGAAGATGTGTGCGCTTTCATCACATTGAGGTCCACCAAATCACCCAGTGAAGCATTCTTGATATCAAAGGACAAATAAGATTGCTCATGTATCATTATATATGTTCTTCCTACATGCATGCACAATTTGGAAAACCTAGGATCTTCATATGCTTTGATCATATCCACAACACAGTCATGATTTCCTTCCAGAGCATGCACGTGTTTCATCTCCGATGCAATCTTTTTTATACACCCAAGATTCATGGATAAATGCTGAGATATTATTGATGAACTTTGAGTGGTACTTCCATATCTTCCATTTACGTAGGAAAGCAGCACCAAGTTGGCCAAGGTGAAGTATGACATGAAAGTAAGGAAGTCAAAAAAATTCATCCCTGTTTTGCGAGTAAATTCAGTTTAATTTGTATGACCAGCAAAAGCTTCCTCAATATAGAAATGTAGTTTCTATCAAACCCAGTATATTTCTTGTGTGCTTAGGACAATTGCTCCAGTAAGCATAATGACTTAAAAAAAATGTCGTTGAGTTTAAACAAACTGTTGAAATTAATAATAAAAAGAATACCATGGCTCTCTATTCATAGTTAAACATGAGAAAATTCATTAATAATGAATGAACTAGTCTAGGATGATCACTGATTATGTTATTATTGTATTGAGTTAAATATTTAATTTAAGATTTTCACATTAAGTTTTGCCACAACAGCATAGGAAAGTTCCATGACAATATATACTGCACCTGTGTTAGCAGCAAGATTGCGCTGGCAGAGACCCTCAAAATCATCACATACATCCTTGATGTCTTCTATGTATTCCTTGGCCTCATTGTAGTCCCTTAAAAGTAAATTCCACTGTCATACCATGAAAAATCACGAGATAAACTTAGTTCAATTATATTTATCCTTGAGCTTGACTCTCAAATATGTACTTGATCACATTGCTCAAATTACCACCCAAGAAAGGTTATAGGCATTGAACCAATTGTGGTTTATAGATATCGTATCCTCCTGAAAGTGTAAGAAACACCATCAAATGATTAGATCCTATTAAATATCATGGACAGAATCATCTGATGATAAAGCTGATATAGACAGAAATCTAAGTTTTTTCGGGAAATCCATGCTTTCATAAGATACATAGTTTCTATCCTAATTGTGTTATTGTCCTGCTTATACCATATAATTGAATCAACCAACCAGCCATGATGGATACTAGATAAATAGAAATTACAATCAGCCATCTAATCTAAGATAATCCTTGATGAATGAATACTTATTCACTGTATGCCAGAGATTCTAGTAGGAAAGTCCTAGAAGCCACATCTTTTCTTTACTAGTTCCCTTTGATCTTCTAGCTTCCTTGAGAGTATCAAATTTAAGAGAAGTCAAATGAAAATTCCATTTGAAACATGACAAAAATAAAAACAACAGTAAGTGCAGCTTCTTGTAATCTGCACAGTCTAAGAAGCACAGTGTCAATACATTTTTCTGGGGCCAAACCAAATAGGGAATGTAAGTATTACACACAATTACTTATTTGGTATATCCAATATTCCTTCTTTAAAGGGACTGTAAGACAGCCTTTCAAAATCAAGTAGAAATACAACATCAATCCATATAGGGAACCAGAACAAACCAAATTATGAACTTGATGATACCATCCGCTAGGAACAAATATAATTTCACCTGCTTCTTGTGTACATTCTAACCAGATTGCCTGCATACATATACAATCCCACTGAAAGCTGCAGCAGAAATATGTCATTCAATACAAAGACTTTTGGAGGAAATGGAAACTAGAAATTTACCTTGTTAAAACCAGGAAATTTTGAGTCAGATACTTCATCAAAGATATTATATACAGAATTTTTCATATTCCTGATTCAAAGTTGAAAAGAACTTAGTTTTGACAAGTAAGCAAAAACACAATAAATACATCAAAGCACTCCCCTCCCCCCCCCTCCCCCCCCATTCCCAAGAAAAAACACAAAAAAAGAGAGGAACTGGGAGAAATGAGGGAATATCATCTTCCAAGAATAGAAAGTTTGGTCAAGGTGAAGGTCAATAGTAAATCACAGCTGATCAGTAATTTGAAAAAGAAAGACTAAGGATTGACATATCTAAATATGTTGTTTTTTTTACCAAAGTGCCCAACTTCTAATTCCAAAAAATGCCACTAATTTCTATTTGGCAAATGCATTCATGCCTGTCAAACACAAGATGACACTGGGAAGGATCTAGAAAAAGCCATCTCTTCTTTCCACAGACATTTGCTGACCAGCTATAGGACCTAAAAACATCAGCGTGAAGAGGAGTCCAAGATCCTACAGAAGAATTGAAAGCAAGAGGTTACTGGTGGGTTGTTCATCTCTCTGTAAGAGGAAGTACAGAATAATTTGATATTACACCTATAATCACACCTTTCACCCCCATGTAAACAAATCGATAGTCAGAACAGCATATTTCCTTATTTTGTTGGTCTGTGTCAGAATCTGTATGCATTTTGAAATTGTCAAGATATAGGTTGAGCCAATCATCACAAAAGAACATTGGAGTGATGTATGCTACGTATTCTGGATACTCCTGCCAGAGTAAGAAAAAGAAACTACTGAGCAAAACATCATATGTACAAACAAGAACATAACACATCTGGTGCACAGGAGGATACTCAATGCGAGAAGGATCAAACAGCTTAGCATTTATTAATTTCCATTTGCTCTTGCTGATGGTGTGTGTTTATCTAAAGAAACCACATGCTTACAAATTGATCATATGGGAAGCTTGCACGGGCAACAAATAGCAAAATGAATGTTTAAAATTTTTATTTACAATTAGATTTCAAGTAAAGCAACAACACCAATAGAAAACCACCTGCTAAAAAAGCCTTGATTAAGAACCAAGCATGAATAGTAATGATAATTGATCAACTTATGTTATATTCCACAACACTGCTTTTGACACATGGTTATATGTCTTTTTTAAATCAATAAAAATCATATGTAATCAGTTTTTTTGTAGCAGTACTTTGATATCAACTTTCGTAAAAGGTATATAACTTCTATTGTAGACCTTGCTAGCATAGAATCCTTTGCAATCCTAGTTTCTTCTTTTAGTCTGCGCTTAATTACCTTTTTGCATAACTTCTTAGCGTGAGTCATAAGTGTTAGCCTTTATATTTTGTACAATAATAAATATTGTCCTTATTCTTGTATATAAGAAACAAAGTATTCTTCTTTTACTCATCTGGTATATTTTTAAATCTCAAAATCTCATTAAAATACTTTAAGCAAACAAATTTTTTATCATTCCATACATTTTCAAACTTCAAACAGGATACTATCATAACCAACCGCTTTACCATTATTCATATCCTTAAGAACTTATTTTATTTCTTTAACTCAAATTCTACGATAATATGTCAAATTTAATTCATTTGCTTAAGTTTCTATATTTTCATTTGCTCCTTGTTGTTAAATAGTTTATAGAAATAGTGTTTTCATCTATCTTTGATGTTTTGATCTTTAATCAAAGTTTTTCCTTCTTCATTGTTGATACATCTCACTTCATCCAAATTTCTAGATTTTCGTTCCCTATTTTTGATAAACTTATATATCTTTCTTTTACTATTATTTGTCCTAAGATCTTGATAGAATTCTTAAAAAGTCTTAGATTGTGTTTCACTTACAGCTTTTCTTGTCTCATTTTTTACATTTCAATACATTGCTTAATTTTTTACATAATTGCACACATGCAAAGTTGTAAAACACTTGTTTTTCATCCTTTTCTTTTGCCCTTTTATTCTACCATCTAGATTCCTTATCTTTTGGTTTAAAGTGTCTAAGTTCACCAAAACTTGTTTTAGCAACTCTCCTAACTTTCTTAGGTATCTCATTTCGACTGATATTAACATTACTTTGCACATTTCAATTACCTTCTTTTGCTAACTGCTTCTTAAACTTCAATTGGTAGCCTGTAAGTAGCCATTACTTGATTTTTGAGTCTATAACTTGTTGAGTTCTTTGTTTACCAAACTTAAAACAAACTTAAAGGATCAAAACCCTATATTGTGCAGTAAGGCTCTCTTTTGGAATCACTTTGCAATTCTTAGAATTCTTTTATCTAAACACCATATCAAAAAGAAATTGATTTGATACCTTGAGATCGCACTCTTATAAGTGATATGTTCCTCCCATGTCTTAAAACAAATATTCATAATCTTGAAGTCATATACTATTGAGAATTCAAGAATAAATTATTCTTCTTTATTTAACTCTCCAAAACCAAAATCGTCATAAACTATTGTAACTTATTTTTCCTCACAACTAATATGACCGTTTAAGTCTCCACCAATGAAAATTTTTTCAGCTTGTGGAATGCCTTGAAACCATCTAAATTCCCCTAAAAATTTTCTTTCAAAAGAGCTTCTGAGCCAACTTGTGGAACTTAAGTACTAATGATATTAATAGTGTTTTGTGTGACAAAAATATAATCATATTTTCAATTTTTCTAATCTTTACTATATTCTCTTTTCAAACGTTATCGCCAATGATGCCTACTATATTCTTTCTATGACTTTATTTGTGTATTTAAGTTTAAAACCTATAGTTTCAAGTTCTTTAACCTTTTCTATAGTCCATTTTGTTTCTTGAAGACAATATAATATTAATCGTTTTATGAATCATGATGTCCAACACTTCTAAAAACTTGTCTGTCAAGGTACCAATATTCCATGAATCAAACTTAATCAAGTGCTTTTGAACAAGTGTCTTTACCCATATTTGTCTAGTTAAATATAAGGACCCTTACTCATTTAACACTACATTTGAGCTCTTATGTAGTAGCTCTAGTTTATTTGACATTATACTTGAACCATATAGGTATAGCACGTTACTTCTAAATAACATCTGATCCTGACATAATATCATCGCGAGTGATCCATATATATGTTATGACAAGTTTTATATTGGTTGATGAAGGACTAATTTTCCTAGGGACACCAAATTGACCCTTCAAAGATTAATTACACTTAAGAACAATAGAATAGGAGCCACATTAATCAATAGAGAAGTGATGAAAACTAGAGAAGGTAAAAGGCATACCTTTACAAAATGCCAATCCTTCAAATATGGTACAGATATAGGGTGACAGTTAGTGGCACCAATTTCATTATTACACTGACATGCAGAATCCTCAAGTTGAAGGCAACGTCCTATAAAATCTGACACCAATATCTCCTCTCTTTTCTGATCAGTGAATTCTCTGGTGTCACAATCTGCAACCTTCGTTTCACAAAATTTAAATCATCTTATTGCTGTAGACACTGACTCATTTTTTTTATTCTTTTCTATCAGCTAATTAAATAATCATACTAAATTTCAAGCACAGTTACTCATAATCTCGTACAAGTGAAATTGAAAAAGAGCCCAGAAAAGAGAAAGATTCAGGTTCCACGAGAGAACACAAGATTCCACTGAAGAATCAACACAAGTTCTGTAATTTGCAATCATACATGTAACCCCCCGGTCCTACCTTTTTTATAAACCACTCGTTACAGGCTAACTGAATAAGTTACATGCTATGTAACATAATCACTAACCCATTATATCTAACAATCAATCATGAGAGTAGCATTCAAATTCAAAACAACTTGCTTCCATTTGAAGCTCTAGCGTAGTGTCCTTAAACATTGATGGGGGTGTAAACCTGAACTTTAGAAGAGGCAAAATGGGTGGATAAAAATTGAAAATTGGGTTGGCCATGAGGGGTGACCCAATCAGTGCAAGCCCTCCAATGGTGATGGTCAATCATTCCAGTGAGCACCACGGGCTGGTTCTTCTGCATATATCTCTCCACAAACTCACGGTAACTCAGCTCCTTCCCATTCACCTTCTCGATTTGTCCCTTAATATCGATGCCCATACCCACCCCCTCTCACACTTCACAACCTGCTTCTTCTCCCCAGAACCAACCAAGCAGCAACTTAGAACAAGAAGAAAATAATTTAGGACTGGGCCTCCATTCTCTCATTGGGCTGCCACCAGAAACAAAGAATTTTCGGTGATTTTTATTTTCACCGGTTCCTTCAAACTCAACATTTTTTTATATCCTCCAAAAATATAATTCTAAAAGGTATCAATTAGCTTTTTAAATTAAATTTTAAAATAACTTTTAAAACGTAATTTCCAAAAAAAAAAATATTAATTTTTTCTATTTACACTTATATTTCGAGATTTTTACTTTTGGGCTTATTTTATAAAACACTTGACAAAAAGAATATTTTGAAAACAACTTATGTTTAAAAGAAGAAAAAAAAACTTATGTTTGATTTATCTTTTATTTGTGGGTTGAAATAATTTTATTTATTTTTTAATTTTGAAGATTTACAAAAATAATAAAAGCATACAAATCTTATAAATAAAAGATATGTTTGAAGTGAATGTGTAGATCAAATGATATGAAGTTATTTTAACTTAACCAATAATTTTAAATTAAATTATGATTACATTTTATAGAAGATATTTGTAGTTTAAAAAAGACATATTTAGATAATCAATTTAATTAAGCATTTATTTTGTACATAATATCTTATGCTATATATTTAATCATGAGATTCAAGTCAGCAAGAATAGAAATAACGTGAGGCGTACAATGTCAAATGTCACTCCATTCATCTTGATGGTATTCACCAATTAAGGAAACTTCTTGACGTGCAAACGAGGATCTTTAGAAGACATTTCTCTATACTGAAGAGTTTTTTGAATTATATCAATAAGGAATGTTCTCATCTTAAATTTATTCACTCCAGTGGGTGGAATGTGAATGACACTGTGCTGGTGGATAAGCACACCTTACTAGATTACTTGTAAATTTTTCATATACTACACTTATAAGATACAATTTTAAACAAAAATTACAGGTGTGCTGCATAAACTTTTAAAACTTAAACAAAATTTATAAATAAAAAATAAAGAAAATAGAGATCTTAATGATTTTTTATCAACTAAAATTAAATAAAATAAATAATTAAGCTTTTAATATTAAAATTAATTAAGATATAATCTTTAATTTTAGTTTATCTAAAATAAAAATATATTTTAAATTTTGGGTCTTGAATATAAAGATATATTTAAATTAATTTAATTCATCAATATTTGAAATTTAAATAAAATATAATTAAAATAAAGATATAAAAATAGGATTAAAAATATAAAATTAAATGTTTAACTTAAAATCACAGACTAAACAAGGATGGTAATGATTTAAAAAAATATATTAAAAAATAAGGACTCAAATTTATAATATGAAAATAATTTTATTTTAACATTTATTAAATTAAAATTTATTCTATAACATAAGATATATTTATTAATTATTATATGAATTACTGAAAAATAATGTAAGATTAAACCCTATATAATTTTTGTGACACAAAAATTCAATTTTAAACAACTAAAATTAGTTTTTAAAATAAATATTTTAATAAATATTTTTTATTTCTTATTACTAAAAAATAGCTAATATATATTTATAAAATCATAAAAATAATTCAAATTTTGATATTTATTTATTTATTTTACAATAAATGAAACTTAAAAAATTCAAGACAAAACAAACCAACCTAACCAATTAATCTAGAAAAACAAATGTTATAATCATTTCCTCAAAGGAGAAAAACTAATATATATATATATATATATATATATATATATTACTACATTATGTATTATATTTTTATTTTTCCTTTTTTAAATCTTACCTTTCTTTTATTTACCTCACATAGCATACGTGGGTGCAAGATAAAAATTATAAAAAATATATCTAATTTATCCTACATATTAGAAAGAAAAAAAATTTAAATTGAATTAAATAATGCGTCGTTTTCGGACGAGAGAGAGAGGGAGCGAGTGCATGCGACGCGGGTAGTATGAATTACGAAAGAGTTACACGAAAGCATACGAAAAGTAGAGGTGAGTCTGTGTTCATTTGAGCATAGTGATGCGTGGCTACTCCCAATAATCTTAGTGGACACTCGCATGCATCTCATTGGAGTTGACACTTCACAACACCATGCAAGTCCAAACCACACCTCTCTGTCTTTTTTTTCCCTCTACGTGTCCCATCCCATAAAGGATAAAGCTAACTTTGGACACATACCATTACCATTACAAATTAAACATGCTGAAACAACCACCAACACCTAGTCAAAGCTTTCCCTAAGCCATGGCCGATCCAACCTCATCTAACCCTCATAAGCCTCAATCCTCTTCCGACAACCCGTGTGTTTCTCTCTTTCTTACTCTCCTTATTATTTCGGTTTTCTTCTTTTTATGTGAAACATAATCCGTGCTATTTTTTTTTTACTTAATAAATACAATTATACTTATGTAAGAATAGTTTTCAATGATGGCTATAGTTTCGAACGAGAGATTTGTTTATGTCAATATAATTCAATTCATGGGAGCATATGCGATACCCGTCTATATTGTTTTAAATATAAGACATCTATCATTGATATTATTCTGTGGTGAATGATTTGGCTGTGAAGAAGCACTTTTTCTATGCCATCATCATTCAATACAGTAAAGACAACGCTGACCAAGTAATATATTGTTGTAAAAAATTTGAAGATTTTTAAGTGATATAAAACAATAATGGTAATCATTTTACTGCTGTTGATAATGTATGTTGATGTAGGAAAAGTATTAAGAGAGATTATTCCACCGCAATATTAGAACGCAAGAAGTCTCCTAACCGACTTATTGTTGATGAAGCAACTAATGATGATAATTCTGTGGTTACTTTGCACCATGATACAATGGAAAAACTTCAGCTATTACGTGGTGACACTGTTCTGATAAAGGTACTTAGCTAACATCTTCTATGTTTATGCTAATGCAAGTAAAATGCAATTCTAAGAATTATATTGATGGCATATTGGAAAAGAGGTGAGTTTGTTGTTGTTATTGTACAGGGAAAGAAGCGAAGGGACACAATTTGCATTGTTCTTGCTGATGAGCAGGGTGATGAACCCAAAATAAGGATGAATAAAGTTGTTCGGGCCAACCTTAGAGTAAGACTAGGTGATGTTGTCTCTGTTCAACAATGTTCTGATGTGAAGTATGGGAAGCGAGTTCACATCCTTCCAATCGATGATACCATTGAGGGTGTAACTGGCAACTTGTTTGATGCATATTTGAAGCGTAAGTTAATTTCTTGTTCAATAGCATCATTTTCCTGACTTTTTTTTCTAATGAATGTGACTTGTGTTATGGTTCTATAGCATACTTTATGGAGTGGGATGCGCAGTGTTGAATTTAAAGTGATAGAAACTGATCCTGGTGAATACTGTGTTGTGGCACCTGATACTGAAATCTTCTGTGAGGGAGAACCAATCAAAAGGGAAGATGAAGAGAGACTAAATGAAGTTGGCTATGATGATGTTGGTGGTGTTAGGAAACAAATGGCTCAAATTCGTGAGCTAGTAGAACTTCCACTTAGACATCCACAACTCTTCAAATCAATTGGTGTTAAGCCCCCAAAGGGAATCTTGCTTTATGGACCACCTGGTTCTGGAAAGACTCTGATTGCAAGAGCTGTGGCTAATGAGACAGGTGCATTCTTCTTTTTGATCAATGGGCCTGAAATAATGTCAAAGCTTGCTGGAGAGAGTGAGAGCAATTTGAGGAAGGCATTTGAAGAAGCTGAAAAGAATTCCCCTTCTATCATTTTTATTGATGAACTAGACTCAATTGCTCCGAAGAGAGAAAAGACACATGGTGAAGTGGAGAGGCGTATTGTTTCACAACTTTTGACACTTATGGATGGTCTCAAGACCCGATCACACGTTATAGTCATTGGAGCTACAAATAGGCCTAATAGTATTGATCCTGCTCTCAGAAGGTTTGGAAGGTTTGATCGGGAGATTGACATTGGTGTACCAGATGAAGTTGGAAGGTTGGAGGTGCTTAGAATTCATACAAAGAATATGAAACTTTCAGACAATGTATTGTTCTATCCATTGTCTAGCCATAAAGCTAATTATTACTCTATGAGGGCAATATATCTTGCAATTCACAATTCCAATTTTATGTTGTATTTTAGGTTGATCTTGAAAAAGTTGCTAGGGATACACATGGTTATGTTGGAGCAGATCTTGCTGCTCTTTGCACAGAGGCTGCATTGCAATGTATCCGAGAGAAAATGGATGTGATTGACTTAGAGGATGAAACCATTGATGCTGAGGTGTTAAATTCCATGGCTGTGACCAATGAGCACTTTCACACCGCTTTAAGTTCTTCAAACCCATCTGCCCTGCGTGAAACGGTGAGTTTGGTTTCTTTATGAATGAACACCTATATTCATTTAGCAAATCCATGCATTCCCATGTGTTCAGAAAGCTCTTGAAGTCATTTCAATTTTGTTTCTTAATGAAAATATTCTGTAATAGTTATTTTACCCTTTCATAAGACAACTGTTTACAAAAACCATAAATTATTGCCATTGATAGGTTGTGGAGGTTCCAAATGTTTCCTGGGATGATATTGGAGGCTTAGAGAATGTCAAGAGAGAGCTTCAAGAGGTTCAAATTTCCTTTTGATAAAATTTTAATTTAGTAACTTTTCATATTTGCAAACTAATGATAGAAATATTTTGCTGCTGGTAGACTGTTCAATACCCAGTAGAACATCCTGAGAAATTTGAGAAATTTGGTATGTCACCTTCAAAAGGTGTTCTCTTTTATGGACCTCCAGGGTGTGGTAAAACCCTACTTGCAAAAGCAATTGCTAATGAGTGTCAGGCCAACTTCATAAGTGTTAAGGGACCTGAGTTGCTAACAATGTGGTTTGGTGAAAGTGAAGCAAACGTTCGCGAGATATTTGATAAGGCTCGGCAATCAGCTCCTTGTGTGCTTTTCTTTGACGAACTTGACTCTATTGCAACCCAGGTATGAAAATTCATCCAGATATTCATGCCCATTGCTCATTCTTAATTTCCTAAGAGAAATGCTAGAAACACA